TTAAGTGAGTTTAAAATTTAAATGAGAAATCAACAAGTAAAGTTAGCTAACAAATAGGCTAGATCTGTCAGGAAAAAGGCTAAATAGGCAGCACTATGACAATCAGTGCCAAAATGTGACGGCGCTCAATGCAGCAACAAGCACCCACTCAAGCGCACACCTCAGCTCACCCACACACATGCCTAAACACACACCGACACACACACACACACACATACAGTCAAATATTGTTAGGCATGTCAACTGCTTCATTTTGTGTGAAGCCTGCCCACATTTGTCGCATGTAAACAAATGAGCTAGACAAAGCGCAAGTGCTCTCACACACACACACACATACACACACTCACAAACAGCTCGAGGCAGCAGTAACAGCAGCTGTTGCTGTTGCTGTTGCTGGCCAAACAGACAACACGTGCTCTGTGTTTACAGCAGCAGCAGCAGCAACAGCGAAGCTCTCAAATCTCGTGACGCATTCGCAATTGCATTTGAACTCTGTTTAAACAATGACGAGCGTTGGGTAAACGAACTGAAAACTATTTGCAGTCGGCAGCCGGTAAATATTAATGCGAAAAAGTGGCCATCACAAAGCGAGCGACGACTGCAGCCAATGACCGGGCAGACAGGCAACAGCAACAACAAACAGATAGATAGACAGACAGTAAAAGCAACAGCAACAACAACAACAATTGTTAGAATATACATATGTATATCCAAGCAGGCCCACTTCACACCCATTTAAAGTAAATTTACATGCCGAATGATTAATATGCAAGCGCTGTCTGTCTACATCTAACTATGACTATGACAATGAGCTGTTTGTCATCAGCAATATGATAAATTCTTTATTGATTCTCGTAAAACGATAAAGAAAACAAAAAATTACGCTTTCATTCATAAAAGCGTCGTGGCAAGTATTTAGTATGCATCCCTTGTCACTGGATGCACAGTGCATAGAAAGTTCTGTTGGAAAGTCGAGTTGAAACAAAAGACTGAGGCAACGAACTTGGCCAGACGGCGCTTGCAACATGCACAAATTTGTTGCGCTGACATTATATCCAAAATTTTTTTGGAGATTTTTCCCATTTTGCGAAATAATTTACTTTCCATTTCCGTTTGATCATTAATTTCGCAATGGAAATATTTCAAATAGCGAAAGCAATTTTTTCTTTTTTTTTTTTATTATCACTTTTATGGCGACAAATCAGTGTGTGTGTGTGTGAGTGAGTGTGTGTGAGCAGATGCTGCGAGCTGCGAGATGTTAATGAACTTCACGTTTGTTGCGGAAAGTAATTTTTACGTTTTTCTATAATTGAATTAAAGTTTTGCTGATGATTTTATTAAAGCAGTAGTAGCAGCAGCAGCAGCTAGGCTAAACACAAAAAAAGTGCAATAAACAATTTAATTGTGAAAGTTGAGCATTCGTCAATTTACATTCAAATCGCTGTCGGATATGTTTGGCAATAACTCGACTAGTTATATATACATATATAAGTACTATAACAAACTCTGATTAATTGACATTATTTAAATGATGCCAATTTGGCTGCAAGCCATCAAAGACAAAGGTTATTGTTATTACTTTTACTTACGTTTTGTTTGTGAAAGTCGTTTTGAAAAATTTGTGCGTGTGCGCGCAGAGGACTTAAATAAAATGAAACAAAAATCAAATTGAGAGAAAAAATTTGAAAGTGAATGCGATAGCTGTGTGAGATGCAAGTCGCTTTGTAATTTCTGCAGTCAACAGTGAAATATAACAGTAAATATATGCTTGAAATAATGCGGGCAAATCAGCAAAGTCAACAACAAATGCAGCTGATGCTAAAGACTTCATCTCAGCCAGCGGCAGCATCAAGTGCCGCTCATCAGCACTCGACCTGTTTACAGAAGCCCCACCAACAACGACAGAAGAACATCTTCAACGGCTCGTAAGCAAAAACACAGGCGTTTCCCTAGTTTTTGCTCATCTTGAAGCTGTTCTTTTAACAGAAATATGCCAGCATACCAGGGGCCGGCCTCCATCCGCTATGAGTATGCAGGATATTTGAGCACCACTTAATTGTTGTTGTTATTGTTGCTGCTGCTTCAGCATCACAGTTATCAGAACTTTGCATCGAGTTTTTGAACTGTCAGCATTTTTGTGTTTATAAATGTTCCAAGAACAAAATCCAGCTAAAACCATTTTTCTGTTTAATTTCGCATGCACCATAAAGAATGCACATAAAATTGCAACGAAATTGCCGGCCAACTTAATTGGCAGACCGAAGCTGTGATAAACAAATGTTGCCACTTGTTCAGACTTTGCTTAAATGAGCTTAGCAGAGTTATAAAAACAAGTGGCATTTCAAATACCCTTTTTAATGCAAAATATAATATGCAAGTCTGCAAATTTTGAAATGTTAGTGCTTTCGATAGTTGCAATTAATCGATAATTTACCTCACCTCTGCAATTCGCAATTTAAATCCTTACGATATTTAATTGTTGCCGATACTGCTATGTTAATTAACATTTCCACCCCCAGGCCAGAGCACTGCTACGCAACTGTTGCTCAGCAGTTCTATGTCGCATAGCTTTGCGTTTCAAGCTTTACAATAAAGTCAGCTATGCCGTTTTTAGTGTATTTTAATATATGCATCTATGCTATAACCAATTGCTCATATCATTGGCAAGCTATTCACGTAATTGCTCGTCGGGCACAAACTAGAACACGTCTGCGCCTGGAGTACTTGTACACGTTGTACGTGCCATGTCAGAACAGGCAAACGGGAGTAGACACGATGTTCTATATAGTTGAAGTGCTGGTTTATAGGTAGGATGTATAAATAACAATAGTCTGGACAGGCTGTATCCTACATATATGCATACATATGTATATATATTTATCTGTCTGTATATTTGTATGTTTAACAATGGCAGCCAAAATTGAAAGGTGCAAAAACAGCGAAAATGCAGCTCAATAAACTAGCTAAAATGTTTTGGGCTTAAAGCGACACTGATGCAGATACAGATGCAGATGCAGATGCAGCGATGGAGACAAAACGAACGGTGTAAAGAAAAAAAAATTGTCAGACAGTCGTACAATTTAACGGCTTTTGTTGCATAAATGCAGCAGGCAACATTTGTTATGCGATTGCAATCTATCGCGCAAAATGGCGCCGATTGTTGACAATGCGAATCGAGTACGATTGCAAGTATGAGTATCGAGTATTGAGTGCGAGTACGAGTACGAGTGCGAGTACATCGTTTGGCTGCAATTGCGCAAAAGGCGTTGAAAATTTATGGCTAACAAAACAGGCAGCACCATAAGCCGCTAGACAACAAGCAGCCAGCATCCCCCTAAAGTTGAGGCTGTCAAGCAGTCAATCAGTCAATCAGGCACTCAGCCGATTCGGCAAAAGAAAGCTGACAGACAATTATAGACACTAATAATAATGATAATAACAACAACAATAGCAGCAACAAAGCGTATAAATATGACAACAGGTTAGCGAACCTCACACATTTGCATATGAAGAAAGAGAGAGAAAGAGCGAGCGAGAGAGCGAGAGAGATTGTGTGTGTGAGCATAGTCTAACACAAAAAAAGGGAGAAAGGGAGCGAAGAGCGGTACTAAAAAGCTTGCCGCTACGCGCGTTGATCGTTGGGGCCAGTTTCCAAGAGGTGTTTATTATGCAATGAGCGTTTTTTCATCAACTTGACAAACTGAGCCATGAAAACAAAGCAAAAACACAGAAAAAAAACAACAAGCGACTTGGCTCATTTTGCCTTTGTTTTACCATTGTGCTTTATGATTATATTTTCTCTCTTCCCTGGCCGTTGCTTTTTTGTTTTTGCTTGCGAAGGCCTACACTACACACACAGGTGATATTCATTTGTCTGTATCTGTATCTGTATCTGTATCTGTATCTACGATGCGTCGTCTGGGCTGAGAGCCCGACCAAAATGACAAGTAATTCAATAAAAATTGCATGTTTTACATAAATTCTGTTGGCAGGTCATAAAAATGCCAAAGTCCCATAGCGCACACTGATTCCAAGCTGAATGAAAATGGAAAGAAGAACAAAGATTATTTATTGCACTCTGGGAAAATGGAAGATGTTCTGATTGAGACTTAACATGGCATTTAAAACTTCATTTAGTATTATATTGATAGAAGTTGCATACCCAATAGCTATAATTAATTTTATTCGTTTCCAGGTCGTCAGTGTTGCTATTTCGTTGTATTATTTTCAAAGTATAGATACTGAATCGTTTTTATATCCCCCTAAAAGTAGAAAATAAAAACGTATTATTCGATTAGTAACTAGCTGTTTTTGCATTAATAAAAAAAAAAAAAAAAAACTTTAATATCAAATGGATTAACTTAAAATTCCATTTCCACTCCTCCTATCGAGGTTTTAAGTATATTTAATAAACTTTTTATTCATTCAAACCATTGCATATCATGCGATAACAATCTCAACATGAAATGCATATAGATCTCGTATACTCTACCTTAAACAAACAATTATATCAACTTCAGACAATGCAAATAATATCAGGCAGGCGCATGCCAACTGCAGGTACACCTACTGCAGCTCCAGCTCCAGCTCGAAAGCTTTATTGGGTAACAGGGGCTGGCACAATCGCAAGTTTACACAGCTGAGAGGCCGAATTGGGATGACTTGTAAAAAGGAAGTCGGGTCATAAACAATATGTGTTATTATTGTGCTGTGAGTGCGTTGACCCAGCGTTGATTTTTATTTACTTTTTTTTTTTTTTTTTGGTTCTTTCACTGTTTGGTTTGCAATTTGACGCTGCACAGTGTGAAGCCTGTCAGCACCCAAATAAAATAAAAGAGAAAAGTTCTTGAACCAAAGAGAGAGACAGAGAGAGACGAAGAATGTTGGTATTTACAGTTAGATGGTTAAATACGTCGGCAGACTTTAAAGCCAAAATACACAACATCCCATGCATATTCACAAACAGAACATTTATGACTTACTTGTCGTATCTTTTGCAGACTCTCGCCTGGACTGGGGATCCGCAAGAAGAGAACAAGAAGAAAAACAACAACAATATTAAACAACAAAAGTCAAAATGGTTTCGAGAAGAAAAATATTATCACGTTCGCGCGATGATCTAAACCTGGATCAGACATTCACCCAACAAGAGGAGGAGGAAGATGTCTGGTATCAGAAAGATAAGCTCTATAAGGTAAGCCTGACCACAATGATTGATGCAATTATACTTATGCAAACGAGTATAAGAGATACGTATAAGTTGATAAGTATAAGTATGCTAAGTGTTTGGCTGGCAGCTACTGAATTATAAAGTCAAATGGAGGCCATGGCAAGACGACACGATTTTATACAATTGGACAGCTCAAGACTTTTTTGACTTCCGCTTGGCCAGTTGGTTGGTTGGTTCTGCTATTGCTTATGCTACTGCTTCTTCTTCTTCTTCTATGATTTGTGGCTATTTTAGAGTGTGGCTATATTCTCGACACGTGCAACGCGGTTGCATTGAGGTCAGCAACAGCATAAAACGCACTAAACCTTAGCCGCAGGCGATCTGTGCTGTTGCTGTTGCTGCTGTTGTTGTATTGACCAATTGCATTAATTACCGTTAGGCCATCGCATTGCGTTGTGCATTTTTAATTTGCCTATGGCCATTTGGCAGTTGCCGCAACGACAGCTCCAAGCAACAGCAACAACACCACGAAGAAAACAACAACAAAATGAAACCCTAATGTACAAGCCCAGCACGAGCTTCACTTCAGCTATGTATGTGTGTGTGTGCCTAGTGTTTATCCATGTGTGTGTGTGTGTGTGTGTGTTTGCTGTTGGCTTCTTCATCTGTGTGTGGGCATTTCTCATTGATTTCAGCAGCATTTAAGCCAAACAAAATAGACAATAAAATCAGCATTTAGTTGCTGTCTCTAGCTCATGTCATGTTTATGCGCTAATCATAGCGTGATTTATCATATCGTAATACAATATGCTTTAGATCTACATGACCTAACCATGCAGAAATATGTTAACTAAAAACAGGTATATGTATATATGCAACAAAAGACATAACAGAAACTTGAGTAAAATAAGCAAATATTTGAAATATTTGTATAAGCGTGATATAAGAGTTAAACAACATGATTTAATTAGGTATGTTTGTTTGATATTTGTTGTATGTGTAACGTAATAGGTTTATTAATAATTAGGTATATTCATATAGATAATAAATAGCCCGGATACTTTAATTATATCATATTACATTTTCAATTCATTTAATTTTAGTGTAATATATATCTAATCAGGTTTTCATATATCTAATATTATATATACAAA